ATCATTTAAAGGAAAGTTATGTTGTAGGCGCTCCAAGAGCAATCTGATCGCTAAGCGATCCGTTGGCTTATTGCATTTCACTTCTTGGTGTGTGTACATATTTATATACCTTCTCCGATATTTATATCCTAAGCTTCAAGCTTCGTCTACTTGTTCTGGCAAAAAGCAACAGTAAAAACTTCTTGGTGAAGATCAAATAGTTGAAGGATATCATTTCAACAAATCTGACCTACAATTTTAATGCAAAAATAAGTAAGTTTTTTATAGCTATTACTCGTTAAATCTTTTATTTCAAAAAAGTTTAATTATATCTTAGGCTTCAGGCTAATTTCCTTATCCTATCACATTTGCAACTTTAGGCTATAAGCGCATTAAGTTGCAAATGTGAAGCAGAACAAAGAAATTAGAAATATGCAAAAATTTTAAATGTAATCCCTATATGAAAAATTTTAAAAAAATAATAAATATTGGGAAGCTGTTCATTATATTTAACTCTTTTCAGTGACATAATCTTTCTCAAATACTATTTGTTGAAAAGTTACTTAATTTTAATGTCTAAAATTTATTTCTTCTTTCTTCCAACCTGCCGTTCCTGAGTTACGAAAAATTTTTCCTTTCTTTTCATATTCATTGCTAATAGAAAATGTATCAAGCAAAGAAATGTGAAACTTGAAGAAGTTTCAAGTTAAAATTCTTTTTAAATATTATGCCACTATATTAATTAATTTACTCATTAATTAAAGTTCAAATTAATCTGTGATAATGATTGTTCGATCAAGTATAATCATCATCCCGAGGTTTCCCTAAGGATAGGTTAAGGAAAGGGCAATTGGTAATAGGAATATTTACAACTTTTCCTCACTTGAAAAGCAAACAGTGAATGCATAATACGTTTAATCTATTGAATCTCCTGAACCACGCGGGAATATTATATATTTCTTGTATTTTTATTTGTTTAGAAATATTTATTTGTTTGCTTATTTGAAATATTGTCTATTTCTTTTTTCTACTTATTGCGTACTTAACAATTTGCAGAATAAATTTCGGAAATTTTTCTTGTGAAACAGACAACATTACTTCTTATTTCATTGCTGTTATTTACACTAAATTGTAATCAGTACGATACTATCACAGGTATTTAGTTTTTACATTTTACGGTATAAGTTGACATCACTGCTAATTCAAAATTTCCACCTATAAGCATTAGTTATCCTTTTGAAGCTTTCAATTCATCAAGAATGAAGCATGAGAAATCAGTAAAATATCTATTTATAAAGTCTGATTGGAATACCCTCGTCATCATGCGAGTAGTGTAATAGAAAATTTTGTGACAAAATGAATTTTCCATTTCATTTTCAAAAAAATTCATTTATATCATAGAAAGTGTCATCGCGTCATTCTTACCTGTCATAATGGGTAACATTCAAGCCATCCTAACTTCCCGCACTCTTGAATTAACGATGCATCGGGTGTCACACCACAACGACTCAAAATATTTGGCTGTTTCTTTCGTTAGAGAAATGTTGAAAATTTTTTATTCATTTCTATTTCCTTTTTTATGGCTCTTTCTTTTTCCTAATCGAGCAGCTGATATTATTCAGGATCACCGAATGACCAAATCAGACACCCGAATCTTTCTACTATCAACTTGAGGGATTATTAAAAACAAATGCTACTGTTTCACATTATTTTAAAATTAGCACCGATTGGTTGGTCTTGCAAAGGTTGTTTTAAGATTTAACTGATCTTTCTCGTTGTTACTTTTAAACTTATTCATTCTCAATCTTTTTTTAAATATAAAATTAGACATGTTAATTTTTTTTAAATATATTAATAAATTCATTTGTTCATGGGTGCTAACAGCTGAAATTGATGGTCAATAAATCGATTTCTTATTTGATTGAACGATTGAAAAGATCCATAGATAGATAAGTTTATTTAATATAGGTCATTGTTTCAATGAAAAAAACTATTGGATAGAGTCAGATCTCAATGCTGGAGTATTTTAATGATTGTAAAGTATATTTAAAAATCAAATATATAATTATGTTATCCATGGTCATTGAATGTTGTCAAAAAATCTGTTACTGTGCAAATAGGAAATTATAGTTTAAAATATTTACATAATTTTCTGTTTAAACTGAAACGATTCTATAATTTATTGGTTTGCCATTTTTAAATCATACATAATTGCTTACAACTTGACTACATAATAACTATTGCTAAAATGTATTTATTACTTCATATCATTGTCATCCCATTATTTAACACAATACAAAGCATTCATTTACAGAGGTAAATTTTTATTTGCTTCTCCAAGTATATCTATCATATTGAATTATCAAACTTTTTACGCAGTGCGGTAGATAATTTTAATTATTCAATACAGCAATAAGTGAGTGGCAGCAAAAAGGAATGAATGGTTGTAGTAATCCCAAAAAGCATTGCAGGTGCATTTTCCTGATTTACATATATATTTATTGTGCATTTCTATATGCATATATATATATATACTATAACTTATCGGTTTTTTTAAAATATATGTACAGACATATAGATTATGTATGTATGTGTGTGTGTATGTGTGAATGTATGTGAATGAATGTTTGCATCGGTGTGTGTTAAATGCAAATATGTGACCGTTGTTGTTTTTGTTAAACCAAAACAGATCGACATAACAAATGTGCAAGAAATATTGCTTCTATTCGCTTTGGTTACTTCGTTGACCTGCTTGCTGTTATGTAAGGAAAGAAACCTTTCATTGTATTACCATTTTATGAAGCACAGATAAGCAAGAAAAGTATAACTTACTTATACCCACAACCATACTTATAGCAATAACGAAACCCATACAATAAGCAAAAAGAGGAGGTATGAGTGTGAGGATAATTCTAAAAACAATATTTGGGAATAGTAAGGAAGGTAAGAGTCCACTAACCAACCATTGTTTATAAGCTTACCAAGCTGGCGCCATTTGTTATGTATGTTATGCGCGTTATGCAATAAATATGTATGGTATACTCGCATAGTTGAAAGAGAGGAAGGATGAAGATGGTATTTCAAGTATGATAGCATTATTTGGGAATGCCCCTTCACCTGGATGAAATTTTCTATTTTCAAGTCAAATTTTACCTTATGCATTTAATTGTAATCATCTGGAATTTTCTTTTTCTGATAAAAGAAAAAATTTAGATATTAAAATAAAAATATTGGCACAGAATGTGATTTTACAGAATGAGAAAATCACTTTAGTGATATGGGATTCTTTTTCAATTTAGATTTAAATAAGTCAAGCGTCTCAAGTCAAATGTTCTATATTAAATGGAGCGATTGAAACTTATTTCAAAAATCGAGAATTTGTCCAAATGTGTGTCTCAAATAATGCTACAAGCAGAATCATTCATTATATATAGTAGGTCAAAATTATTTAGCACAACTTTATATTTAAAAATGTATATTAAACAGTTTAATTTGATCCTGTACACAATAAAAATCAAATTTAAAATAATCATGGAATTTTGACTTATTAAGGGGTTAATTTTTTCGGTAGGTATAATGCAAATCTTTCAAGACGTCCATATGCGATCGGTAGTGGCATTAGTTGAAGAAATTATATCTGAACAATCCAAATGACCAGCCAAGCTAAGAAAGATCATCAATAATAGTAGTTCATCTATTTTAAACATAAAGATTAAGAAAATAGCATAGCATTAAAATCTCTACATATCAATATATTTAGCATATAGAAAGGATGGATGAATCTATTATTAACAAACTATTTTTTATAAAGTGATTTTTCATCTTACTTAATTTCAGAATATACCAATAAAGGAGGATATTGAAATCAAAAAAGAACGAAATTGCGGCAATAATGTAATTGTAATCTGACAGCAACAGTACAAAGAGTAATCGTTAAAAAAAAAAGGATTCGAAAATCTCTAAAATCTACATTTCAAGTCAGGAAACTAAGCGGAAATTACAACGTTGGTCACACTATTCGACGTGGCTGATGAATCTCACTTCATCCTCTGCCACAGGTTAATTCTTTTTGTTATATCGCAAAAACATTCAAATTATGTTCTAAAATATTGTACGTTCCGAATCGCATCATAAAGATAAGCGTGAAAGGTAAAATGAAGACAAGAAGCTAAAATTAACTTTCGAAATTAAGCTTCAAATCTTAGCAAGCAGTAATCATTTTACGTGAACATATTAAAACAAAAACGATTGAGAGTGTCACTAGGATCAGAATCAATAGATTCTATAAATATAATGACACTATGTTAAAGACGCTGCTATAGGTTGAATATAGTTATATCGCGTTCGTTATTTAAATGTTCCAAATTTATCAGGTTGAGAACGGTTTGATCTACCAATTCACGGTATAATGTATTTTAGTTTTCTTGAAATTTCTATTGTTTGCATATTTTGGGTTTTTATTCTACTTTTAGTTGATATTTTCACTCAATAACATCAAATTTGGGAGATCGTAAGTTAACTTTCTGATAATGCACGTGCAAATAGAACGAATAATTTATTGCAACTTTAATAATCAATTTGAAAGTCATCTAATTTATCGAAATTAAAAACATTCCTACAACTAAATCGGAACCTTAAGTAATTTCCAGTAGCATTTTTGAATTGGAAAGTACATTGAAGCATTTGTATTTCAAGTGCATTCAAACTTTTACTGACTAGCATTTAGGATGGAAAATTTCTAAGTCAGAATTATTTGCTATTTTTCCGCCCATAAGCTCATAAAAATATTGGAACTATATCATAGGAGTGCAATATAAGTAATACTTTTAGACAGAGCATCACTGTATTCCCAAGAGGAATCGACACCATCAACGACAGCATCCACCTCCGCGATACCACAAGGTTCCTCATCTGCAGCACCAGCAACATCCTCTTTACCGTCCTCAGGTTCAAAGCACACTAAATGTGCTATCAATTTAGCCGCAATCACTAACCAGCAAACAGTTGCCACCTCTGCTAAGATGTATTCGCTACAGCACCAAACTTCTTTACAGCCCAATGGCACCGCTACGAACGGTAAGTTAATCGGTAGCATAAAATGCTTTTGATATTAGTTGAATAAAACAACACAGAGTTTTCGGTTGTCATAATATCATCGCAACAGTTAGCCATAGAGTTCGTAAAACAGCGATCAGATATGAAGATATGCTGTCGAATGATGCAACGTAAAGTAATATTAGATATGCCGTTAGGCCTAATTACAAGAATATAAGCTTTGTGATAAACTAGAAGCTAAACAAGCTATTGTAGCGAGAAGTCAAAGTCGATCAACAGAAGGTTCAGGATCCGGTGGTTTAACGCCGTCAAATTCATCACAGCAATCCGGTAGTACACAACCAGCACAGCAAACTCATCAAATGCAACATATGGGACAATTAGGTGTAGCATTGCAACAAGCAACCGGAATAGAAGCTCCACCAGCGAGTTTCACCTTTAACAACTCTGGTTAATAGCGTGACATTTTAATTATCTATGTATAATTGTTCTTCCTCTTAATCACAACGTAATAAAAGTATAGAAAATTCCTAAAACTAAGGAAAATTTGAAAACAGACTAGAGTTTAAAAAGCGATCTAAAGGTTAAAAAACAAACTAAAATTAAAAAGCGATCTAAATTAAGAGACAAGGTAGATATGATACCTTTTACACAGCAGATTTTATGGGAATAATACTAGTATCAGTGATAGGATTTCTGCAAATTCTGTTACATTTTGGTTATAAAAATTTTGGAAAGCTCAAATTGCAGAAATGTGAAAAATTAAATTACAAAGATTTTTCTGTTCATTAGTGTTGAGTTGCAGCAAAACCACATGTTTGTTAGAATTTGCAGATCTGTTTTCATCCTTTCCAACAAATCACAACTTACTGCAATATCAAATGCGACCGGAGTTGATGGGTCTATCTGGATTTCGAACTGCTAATGGTTCTTCTGTGAGCACGGTTCGATTTGTTTTATGAGTAAATAATTTTAGCTACAGCATTTAGAAAATTAGAAAGATAGACTAAATTGTACCAAAATCGTCTTATGTAAATGATACAAGATAATAAGTTAATATCTACGGGTGCAGAATGGTACAATTTGATGGATTAGTACTCATTACTATGATGCACAGTTTTAATTCATCATCACAGTAATTCGTATTTTGAAATAAGAAATTCCTGAAGTCTCCCTGTAGATTTTAAGATTTATTTTCATAGGTACAAATATTGTTACCTACCTTAGAAAAAACAATAAGCTCTTATGAATTATGAAAGCCTTGGAAACTTAAAAATAGCCGTTGATATACCGGCAATTATGAAATCAAGATTTTTTTCTACTTCAGAATTATTGAATTCAATTTTGTAAAATATGTTGCAGCTTTTATTAAAGCTCCTTCATCAGATTCGAGGAATCAAGAAAGGAAAATTTATATTAGAATATTGAGTCCAATAATTTCGAAATAGATTCCCTTTACATAGATCAAAATTAAAATTGACATCACTATTCTTGCAGAAGTTCATTTAAAAATTTGTTCGTCAATTTATAAGAAACTATTTCTTTATATATCATTGACACGTGTAAGTGTTTCATTTCTTATTTTCATCTTTCTGGAAATCAGAACTATTGTAATCGAGATGAGTGAGATTCTGAGAATATAGTGATGCTACCTAAATTCAGAGACTTTTGATGCTATTTAAGTGCTAAATTCAGAGGCTAAAATTGTGGATAGAATTTGAATTTCACTTTAATGCCGAACTCCAATCAGCATCAAAATAAAGGGTAAAGAAACAAAAATCAAGGCATTCACATTTATGATTTAAAATATAACAGGGAATAAGCAGAGGATGAGAAGTTGGTATGTAGCATTATGACAATAGCAGTTTTGAATTGTTGAGGGACGCAAATGGAAGGAAATATCTGGAGAGAACATTGACGCCTCTATCTTCCGCCTGGGTTCAATGATACGTACTCGGCTGCGAAATCCCATCCATTTGTATGTGTATATGTATGTGTGTGTGTGTGTGTGTGTATGTATGTGTATGTATGTGTATGTATGTGTATTTTATATATGTATATATATATATATATATGTTTTGCACCATCTCGTGCCACTTCTATGGGTGATTTAAAAATAAGGATTTAAAAAAAGATGGGAGTAAAAGAGAGTGGTACTTATTTTTTGATAAATATATGCATTTCTCTCTCTTTCTCTAATACCTCATAAGGATTTCCCGAGAAAAAAACCCGACCACAAAGTATCAGTCCATCAAATATGGCATTTTGCCAAGATGTACTTGTCAACCTGCCGACTGGTACTGATGTTGTGGATAGCGGAGATGAGATGGGTCTTCCCCTCAGCCGTTGAATTTTTTTGAAAATTTTTTGTGACATAATGCAACATATCCTCTTAGAAGGCCCGAATCTCTCTTCCACCCTCTACACATCGATTGACGATACTATCTCGTAGTTGTCATTCATTCTTTCTGGTGCTTCTTTTCTCCCTTGCGCTCTCTTCCCTTCCCGAAAACGTCAGCAAATGAACCTATGCAGTACCAGTAGAACCAGCCGTCGAACCACTTTTTTTCAATCTGGCAATATCCTCATCCACATTTATTTTTAAACTTTTTTCGAACTTTTCCTTGCTTTTTTTCTTCTATACAGTTAAACTTCTCTCTTAATGGCACATATTTCTTTACCCTTTTTTTGTGAAAAAAAAGAGAAAATGAAAAATTTGATTTGACAAACATTCGTCATATTTGAGATCTTTTTTGTAATATATCCGCTGTCTCCAAAATAAACAACCTGGAAAGCAGTCATCAGATACCGCGAGTATTCTACATGGGTTCTATAGATAGAGAAACGATGATACTTATGACATATATATAGAAATTAACTTCTTCAAAGTATCGTTAGTTACTTTGTTAAATGTAAATTCCATGTTTGCATCAGTGATTATCAGTGTGGATATCTTTGAATTAAGTAACTGTGCTCTAAATCAAAACACGAAGTGATTCTAAGATACTATAAATGCTGATAAAAAGCATGTCTATGAGAATAGTTTTTACAGACTTCAAAGATTAGCAAAAAATTGAGGAAGCGTAGAACGATAAAAATAAGAAAATGAGAAAAGGTGACGATGACAGTTGACGATATTGCAAATGAAAAAGTGACTTGAATGGAACATGTATCGCGGATACGCAAATATGAGTTGACTTCAATTCATACTTATAAACAGAAATAGAGAATTCACAAAACTAACGGTAGAGAAACATGGATTCATTTCAAAGTACTAAAGGATAGGAAAAAACTCAGCAATCAATTATCGCAAAATAAAAAATGTGAAACGGGAGAAGTGCAAAAATTTTCTCGTTTTTTCTCTTTTTATATTTATGTTTTGATTGTAGCAAACGAATAAAAGTTTTTACAGACAGCCAACGTTAACCTTTATCTAAGGATGAAGTGTAAGTTATCCAAATTGCACTGTTTTTCTATTTTAGATTTACAACTCTTCCTTCTTTTGTTAATTAGTTTGAAGGGCAGATTCATGTCATGCAGATTCATGTCCTATAAAGCGGATTTACCCAGCGGCACTATTAAATTTTTTGCTTTATCAAACTTAAATTTGATTTGAATCATTCGAAATAGCATTAAATTTTTTGCTTTATCAAACTTAAATTTGATTTGAATCATTCGAAATAACAACATAATAGAGGATTTATATACTTTTTAATCAACTTCATATAAACATGGGAAATATTTGAAACCTACGGGCAATATTTCTTCCTGTGATAGCTGTGCTTCAGGCAGAGGCAAACATCAGTCTTCTGACGATACCAGTCATTTATCTTAAACGGCAGCTTGCTAGTTCAGTTGTGGATGAAACTATTTTATTTTATTCTTACGAACTTCAGAAGTGCATTTCATCTTACGAATGCAGTGTGTTAAGGGAGCTATTATGCTTCATTTCAAAATATTCTCTTCTTCATCTTCGTTTCACTATCTTTTGATAACATCACTCGATCCGCTTATCCAACGAAATTTAGTGAGCTAGGAAAGCGTAAAGAGAGAGTTCAAATATACTTACCAGGCAACAAATCTCCTATCTATCATCAGAGCAGCAGAAATATCAAATAATATTAGAAAGTCATTTAACAGGTTTTTGCATCTTGCTTGAATAAAAAGATTACATTGAAGAAATAACCACTTTTCCTTTTGTGTGCATGAAGTGAATGAAATGTTTAAAAGAAGTGCAAGAGCCCCGAAAACTATTCCAGATGATTTCATTTTTGCCTCAATTTTTGGACCAGCTATGATATTGCAGCCTAATTTTAAAGGAAACAAAAGTAAATTCTCATTATTTGCTTTGCATATTAAGGAAACATGCTAATTTTTTCAAAACTTCAAAGCCGAAAAAATTTGGGGAAATTCAATTTCAGGTCTTGGAATTTACTTATGATACTAGAGTTGTTCCAGAGCGCTAAAAATAAATTCCAGAATTATCAATGCAATAGCCAAACTTACCGGTTTCTAAATTAGATATGATATTTGATGCTTTATGATAATGAAGCGCTATATTAATGGCAAGCATATTTTTGTGCTATTCTGGCATTCGTTTATCCTTTTTTGATTTTTTCCTTTTTTATATTCTCCAAATTTAAACATTCTAACTAATTACAGGTATTATAGTCTTGTTTTTTGTTTTCAGCTACAAATCATTAATTAAGATTGTAAATTACAGTAACAGTTAAAAAGTTTCGAGTGTTCTCACTTACACGCACCAAAAAGGGTTGTTTAATGAGGAATCAGAAGAAAGGAAGAGAGAAAAAAGTTGTGGAAAACGTATGAGCGCAACAATTTTTCATCCTTATCGCTATTGAAAGTGTGTCATCTCCTTCGCTTACTGGTTGGCGATATTTTTCATTAGTGTTTGTCTGTCCATATATAAAAGTTCATTGCTTTTGTGTATGTCTGTTCTTTGGAGTGTTTGCAAGTCTGCTTATCTAAGTAAAATTTTTTTTTAATGCAAAAATTTTTCTGCAAATTGATGTAACAAAATTTTTTGTAGCTATACTCCTACCTTTAGTTTTATTGAAGAAGTTTGGAAAACTGATTCGTTTTTGGTCTCAGTGCCCTTGTCGCTTTATTGCCATCGTTACACATTTTTTTACAGAACTTGGCCGAACTTTCATATCTGCAAAAGATTTCATTTTTGAAATCCATTCTTTTTTGGCACAATGGAAATCATTTGCGATTTCTTTGTTTCAAATGATCACTCTTTCCGGTATCTCCGGAGGGTATTTTTTTACAAAACAGGAAATGATGGGAAGGAAAGATAAAATGGCGGTATTTGCTTACACCAGTGTCTTTAGAAGTACTAAAACTGAACTAGAAAATTTCCGTTAAATTCACAGTTGAATTTTATCCAACAGATTTATTTTTTCTATTATCAGTTTTATTGAAAAAGTAAGAAATTTATTCTTAATCCTTTTAAACAAAACAATATTTTGTTACAAGAGTTTGAAATCGGAAGCAAATTTTATCTTCCATTTTTACCATTAATTTTTTGCTGCATGTTTTGTAAAGTTTAGCTGGAAAAAATGGATAATTATTACTTTGTTAGATGAGGCACTCAGTAGATTTAGTGAACTGTTATCACTGCGATTAATCTGCAGTACTTCGGATATTGAAGCTATGAAAAGTTTGCTTAGCATATTTTCGTTTTTTACCCAAAGCAAACTTAGTCATGAATTTTTGGATGGCATTGAGAAGACATTGCGAAATACACATGTGTGATGATAGTTTTTATAGCAGACATAATTGGAAATTAGTATCCCTCCTCTGCTGCTTCTGATTCAGTTTGTTGTCTTCCCCCTACTCTTCCCGGCCTTTGATATGCTTCACAGTTGGACTACTGCTGGATGATACTGCTGTAGTTATCGCAAATGGTTGTTGGATGCTTTATTATGAGGAAATCATC